ATCCGTACGCATGTTTACTGAAATTGTTTACACAATTTCAATAATCTTGAATGACCACTTTGATCGTGTTTTTATTCAAGGTGTGACCCTATCCCATTCAAGAAGATTCACTTTTTTTAGTTTATTAAACATATCAATCTTAAACAACATATCTTAAATTTCATGAAATTTTTCCAGCATTTCGCATTGGTCTTCAGGTTACAGAAAATGAAAGTGATTGTAAATCACAATCAAATATACACCCGAAGATCAATACAAAACACAACGACAAATTTTCATGAAATTTAAGACAAGTATATTAAAATTGATATGTTATAATAAACTATGAAAAAATTATTACTCTTCTTAAATTGTCCAATCGGACAATTCAAGATTCAATACTTGTAAATTATTATTACCGTCTCCTCTATTCATTTGTAAAAAGTATGTTTGCTCAAAAAATCTAGAGATAGTAAATAATTTTTGTATTAAATCTCAAACGAAAAACTAAGGCTAATTGTCAACAACAATATATATTCAGGCAAACAAATAATTACATATACAACATGCAATATATTCAAGCAAACAATACATTGAAGCAAACAAGTGAGAATAATACACCGATAGTTATAAGAACTTATTTGTTAATCATGTTTACGAATTATCTTTTTTTTTTTCTTCATTCCTTGCTAATTCGTCTTCCTTAGCTAGCTTTCCATAACTCTTAGCATGTGGTTGGATTGGAAGGTGGATTTGGAGGAGTGGATGATGAAATTAGTTTTTAATATAAGTTATTAAAAAAGTTATTAGTTTTTAATATAAGTTATTTGTTTAATAATTATGAAATTAGTTTTTAATATAAAGTTATTAAAAAAGTTAAAGAATAAGCATACTTGTTGTCTCATTTTTTCAACTTTCGTTGCATTTCTTAGCTTGCAAAATTTCCATGTTGGAAACAAACAGTGCAAGTGTCCCTTCCAAGGATTCCATGTCCATAAAATCAACAACAGTAACTTGATGAGCTTCATTTTGCAGAAACCATCCCAACACGGGCTTTACACTCATTAGCCCGACATTTCATAATAAATATTAAATTAACTTATATTTTAACCAATATTATAGACAACAATTATTTTCTCATATATAACAAGAGAATTTTCCTTTACCTTATTTCATCTTAATACATTTTTCAATTACATAATTGTTGAAGAAAATAACCATTCATTAAAACAATCCGAAATTAAGAAGTGTATTTTCAAATGCCAAGAAAATGTTACCAAACTCTCCATTAACTAAAAACTAAGTTATTTTGAACAAGTATGTTTCAGGATGTTCAAACGTTCGTTGCCCAATGTCTCAATAACAAGTAATTGAAATATCAGCCTAAGCATCCCACAGTATTGCATCTACCTCTTATATCCATCAATTGAGTGCCCTTAACAACTTGTAAAATTATACCAATATTCTACATCACTTTTACTAATTTTTCATTCAATACTTTACAATTAGCAGCAAGCAAAACACAGAGAGCAGATTTTTCTTACTGCACCAAGTCTCAACCAATATACCAGTCTCAACCAATCTACCAACTCAAATATCAAAGTCAAGCTAAAGAGGGTTTGAACAACTTACCGTGATGGGCAACACCAATGACGACGGCGGCAGCGGGACAACGACGGCAACGGTGGACGACGACAGACCTAGTGACGATGGCAACAACTGCAGGGACGAAGGCGGCAGAATGGGAGAACAACGGTGCAATTCTCGCAGCAAATGGACAGTATAGGGAAAATGGAGAAACTTCAGGCGTAAGTGGTTGAAGAAGAGAGGCCGCGAGGAAGGAGGAAAACACAGCGAGAAAATGCAGCGAGGTAGAAAATGAAGGTTTCGGCGAGGAAGAAGATGTAGGTTCAGCCAAAGAGAAAATGCAGCAAGGAAGAAAGAAGATGCGGGCTTACGTGAAATTTTAAATGGGTCGGTTATTCAACTAACCGATGCCTCAGCTCAAATAGACCTCGGTTATCAGCAAAACTGAGGCATAATCTCCACACATATGCTTCGGTTCCACCAACCACCCGATGCAATAGCAAAGTCTTGTCATCTTGCAGTGGCGTTCAGTGGTGTTGCAGGTATTGGCAAGCCTATAGGCATCGGTTCTGCCACCAACCGATGCAATAGCACGTTTTCTAAAAAGTTGTCAGCAAAAGTTAGTCAAAAGTCTGCTTTGCAGGGCGCCATAGGCATCGGTTCAGTAACTAACCGATGCAGTATTGGCTTTCCACCTCGGGTTCCTCTAAACTGAGTTATATACAACTGTACGCTTCAGGCTTTTCTTATCCGAAGCCTATATGGTGCGTCAGAAACCCCGTTTTCTACTAGTGTAGGAACCCTCTATTCACAAATATAGAACAACTACTTTCTATACCGATTATAGTTAAAACTGATATAGAAAATTTTCTTATTTATTACATATATGTCATCGCATCCTTTTTGTATAATAATTATAATTAGATCCGGTATAGAAAGTAGTTCACGAGATTATTACCCCACCCTAACATAGCTCTGACTAATTAACCACCTGATACTTGTATAACATATTCCTCATTCTAATAATAAAAGATATTAACTTATGCATAGAAGTGTATTAATTCCCGAGATCTTACCGTTCAGAGAGGAGAAGAGGCGAGATTGAGAAAAGGGAAATAGGAGAATGAGGGTTAGGGATTTAGGAACCCTCTATTTACAAATATAGAACAACCACTTTCTATACCGATTATAGTTAAAACTGATACAGAAAATTTTCTTATTTATTACAAAAATGTCGTCACACCCACTTTCTATACAAGTTATAACTATGATCTATATAGAAACTTTTCTTTTTTATTACAAAAATTTCATCACGTCCATTTTCTATACCAATTATAATTAGAACCAATATAGAAAGTTATCTTATTTATTACAAAAATGTCATCACACTCACTTTCTATACATGTTATAATTATAATCAGTATAAAAAGTGGCCCATGTCACTTTGTCATATTTTGGAGAATTATAACTAGTATAAATAATTGATATCAAAATTGTTGTTAACACGAGTGGATCCATCCAAAAAATGTTGTCATTTGCTCCCTCCTTACGACTTAATGGATTGTACCATGTCAATGGCAACATATTATGTGCTTATTGTAGTAACAGTGAGGGGTAAAAGAGTTAGACCATTAGAAGGTGGTGGCTTCCAAGAAAGAAAGCTTTTATGTCCTCTAATGCTTTAGCCTCGGCCTTTCTTTGAATAACCTTTGACTACTAATTAACATTAGCTTGTTTGTCCATCCTATATCTATAGACCCATGTTTCTTTTTAACAACCTTCATTTGTTTTGGTTTCTTCAGAAGCTTCAAAATGTTATTCTTTAGAAATTGTTCAAGCTATTTCTGCACAACCTTGACCCAATCTTGGTATATTAGCGTCGTAGAAGATCTTTGCTCTAGTTGGGAGATGAACGTTAAGTCTTTTATAAATTCTATTATGCAAATAACAAGTTTTATTTACTCTTTTAAAAAACTGTGGTGAATACTATTGTAATAAAAAAACTATTTTTTTTTTCAAATAATTAACTGTAAATCTTGTAAAAAAATTTCGCATGTTAGTTTTTTAAAAAAAGGTTAATTTATAATAAAAAAAATTGAAATGAAGAATGTTGACATTGTGTTGTAAAATATATCTTTTTGTCTGTGTATGAATGGGGTTTAATAATTGTAGCTGAGGAGCAACATGTTCCCCACTTGACAAAGATTAGTTGTGCAGATGGCAATTTCTTTTTTGATGGAGTGAAAGGGAATCATGTGCAGAAAAAGGCATAAAACGAGGTGATAATCGATTATACTTAAAAGGCATAATCCATTTCTAATATTACCATTCATTTGAAATCAATTGTGAAATATCGAAATTCTTCAAATTGCAATTTGAAATTATAGACATATTTACTCTCAATTTTTCGAATTATTATATGTCAAAAGGCAAATTGAAATCATTTCATATATGTATGTACAATGAACATAAGAACAAAACATTAAAACCATTTTCCACCTGTCTTTCTCCTTAATTTCAGCTTGTACATGGGACCATCTATCTCACCACTACTTTCGTTTCTTTTATCGTACTTTAGCGAGCATAAGCATAAACAAACAGTGATGATACGCACTCATCAATCATCATGACCAATATTCAAGTAGAATAAACCACCATATTCGCATGTTTTTCACGAGTTTAGACGCACACTAACCTCTTTTAAAGATTTTCATTTAAAGATTTATCTGTAATGCCAAAAGACAATGCAATGCTTTATGCTTTTAACACTTAAAGGGATCAGTCCATAATGTAAAAGAGACGTAGTGTATTGCTTTTAAAATAAAAAGTTAAATTGATATGTAATTTAAAAAAAACAAATATAATTTGAAAAATATTTCGTAGTTGTTAGAGTAATATTTTATTTATATGGTTGAAAGCGGGTGTTGGTCTAATTTCTCAAATTGCTAAAGTAAAAAAGGTTCTGTGATGGTCTTAACGCGCTTGAATAACTATAAAAAATTGTAATCTTCCGCGTGCTTTGATTAGTTGTGTCTGTAAAGATCATCTATCTCACTGTGTCGCATTGATGCTTTCTCTTCTAACACTTCATGGCCTCATCGATTCCTTCCACGGAATTTGCCTCTTCATCATCCAAACTCCCATGGATGTACGATGTGCTCTTCAACTTTACTGGAGACGAAATCTGTAACAAATTTGTTTCCAATCTAGATTCTGGCCTCTCTAGTGTTGGATTCACCACTTTTCTTCACCACCACAATGCAGTGAAACCAATGCACATCGAACAACCTATTATGGATCTCTGTCGGGTAGCAATTGTTGTTTTCACTAAAACCTACTCTCAATCCGCTTGGTGTCTTCATGAACTTCAAAAAATCATTGAATGGCACAAAACTTATTGCCGACATGTTTTGCCCGTATATTACGAAATTTCGCCATCTGATATACGTCTTCAGAAGGGTGATTTTGGGAAAGACTTTGAAGCTACTGCACGTCAAACCTTTTCAAGACAACAACTCAAGCATGGTATGTCCAGGTGGGGCCAAGCACTCACCAAACAGCAAATTTCTTTGGATGGGATGAGAGCAATCACAGGTAAATCACTCACTCACTCAACGGTATTTCAGGCTTGTGATTTAACTTTGTTAATACATGACTTCTTCTTTAAATGATATTTAACTTGAAGGAGCGATGCTGAGCTAGTAGACAAAATTGTTAAGACTGTTCTTAATTTATCAGTCTTGTCTGCTACTAAATTTCCAGTTGCATTACAACCCAAGGTGGAAGATCTTATTCGAACTATCAAAAATAAATCCACGGAAGTTTGTACAATAGGGATATATGGAGTGGGAGGATCTGGTAAAACCACCCTTGCCAAAGCTATCTACCATCAAATTCATTGTACATTCACGGAGAAATGTTTCATTGAAGCTGATGTAGAAGGTAAAGGATTAAGAAGTTGCGTTAGTTTACAAGAACAACTTCTTACAGATGTCTTAAAAATAAAGGTGAAAATACCTACAGAGGAGATCGGAAGAAGTATGATTTGAGAAAGACTTAACGGGAAAAGGGTGCTCATTGTTCTTGACAATCTGAATGACTATGGTCTATTAGACCTATTGGGAGGTAGTTCATGGTTCGGTGAAGGTACTGTAATAATCATTACAGCAAAAAATAAAAACGTACCGGGGTTACATCGAGTGGATTCTGTTTTTCGGATAAATCTAATGAACCCAAATGAGTCGCTTGAGCTTCTTAGTTGGCACGCATTTGGAGAAGCAAAACCAAAAGAAAATTACAATTACCTTGCAGAAAGAGTAGCTCAGTTTTGTGGAGGACTACCTCTAACTCTTGAAGTCATTGGAGCTTGTTTATTTGAAATAAACAAAAAAGAATGGGAAACTGTATTGTTTATATTAAGGAAAATTTCGCATGTCGATGTTAAACAGAAATTGAAAATAAGCTTTGATGGTTTACACAATGAAATGGAAAAACATTTATTCCTTGATTTTTGTACTTTCTTTGTTGGTAAAAGCCTAGCTTATGTTATGAAGATCCTACATGGCTTGGGAATAGACGTTGACATTGGAATAAGAGTTTTGATAGAGCGTAACCTCATAAAAGTTACAAGAAACAATAAATTTGGAATGCATCCTTTGCTACAAGAAATGGGAAGAGAAATTGTTGGTCAAGGAGGGGATGCAAGATATGCACTGGAAGAGATTGATGTGAGAACATTCTTTATATATGGTTTTGAAACTCTTTTTGAAAATGTTTGCTTTCTCATGCGCAATACATTTGTTTTTTCCTAGGTCTTTTTATCCAAGAGAACAAAAATCTCTAGGAAATGTCCTGAGAAACTGTTTGTAACCAGAAAACGTTGCTTCAAACCTTATCCTTTGGAGATAACACACGAATCAAGAGTGCTTAAACTCGCTGGAAATCCTGGATGCGTTCGGCTCGACTGGAAAAACCTGCAGGTTTTTATAATGTGCCATTTTCTTTGAAAACTTCTAGCTTAACTAAAATAAAAATATTACTTGTTTCCATTTATAGCTATTTCATTGTTTTATTTTCTTCTCTAATATTTGATCCAAAAACTGTCTTCCTGAAGGTTTTGGAGTGGCTAAAAGTCCTGAATCTTAGTCACTCCAAGTACTTAACAGAAACTCCTGACTTTTCGAGACTTCCAAGTCTTGAAGAACTCATTCTCAAAGATTGCCCTAGATTGCGCAAATTACACCAATCTATTGGAAGTCTTTCCAATCTTACACTGCTAAATTTGAAGGACTGCACAAGTCTAAGCAATCTCCCGAGAAAGATATATATGTTGAAATCTTTAAAAACTCTCATTCTCGCTGGTTGTTCGAAGATTTACCTATTGGAAAAAGATATAGTCCAAATGGAATCCTTGATATCTCTAATTGCTGAAAATAAAGCCGTTAAACAAGTGCCTTTTTCAATTGTAAGCTCAAGAAGCATTGGATATATATCCTTACATCGACTTGAGGGACTGTCACATAATGCTTTTCATTTTATCATTCGGTCTCGGATGTCACCAACAATCAATCCCCTATCTTATATTCATTCATTCACGGATATGGAGGATAATTTTTGGGATGTTATTGGACCATTCTTTAGCAGCTTTGTAAATCTTCGAAGCGTTTTCGTTCAGTGTGACCCCGAGTTTCAACTATCTCAGCAAGTGAAAACTATTCTGGTCGAATATGGCGTGAATATTACAGAATCAAGAATTTCAAAGCATTGCTTCAGGTCTTCTTTGGTTGGTGTTGGAAGATACAATGAATTCTTAAATACTGTAAGTAATAGCATATATGAGGTTCTTCTTTCTCTTTCCTTTCACTTATTACCTTCACCATGATTTTAGCTATTAAACATATAGTAATCCTAATTAAGTCTCTGACAGAAAATACAATACTAAATTTTTAAGACCCTTCATTTCTATTGCCACACAACTTCATCTAAAAGTTTCTGATTTTATTAATCAATTAACCAAAATGATTATGCTTATACTAAGTACTAGGAAATTGATTTCCAATTTCTTGCTGTACTTGCTTCATAAATGTTTTATTCCCAGTCATCGTATAAATAAAAATTGAAAGAGATGTAAACAAAAATGCATATTAAATTCCTAACGACATGATGGTGATATAACCAGTTTTGTTTAGACTAATTACTGTTTGTATGTGTTAATCATGTATTATATATTGTAGTTTTTAATCACAAAAATAATGATTGCAGAGGATAACTCGAATAGCAGAATTAGATAAATTAGTAAGCTTTTTATCTCATGATACAGGTATTGGAAAGCAGTGAGTCAGGTGATGTTTCTCTTCCAGGTGACAACGATCCTTATTGGTTGGCCCATATAGGTGAGGGACATTCTGTTTCTTTCACTGTACCTCAAGATCGTGTCATGAAGGGAATAGTTTTGTGTGTTGTTTATTTATCAACCCCGTTAATCGTGACAACTGAATGTCTTACAAGTGTCTTAATTGTTAATTACACAAAGTGTACATTACTGATGCACAACCATGGCACAGTAATTTCCTTTAATGATGAAGATTGCATATGAATAATGTCAAATTTAGGATCAGGAGACAAGGTGGAGATTTTTGTGACTTTTGGTCATGGATTGATGGTCAAGAACACAGCTATCTATTTGATATATTGTGAATCAGAACACTTGGAAAGAGAGCCTGCTTTCAACAAAAATTCCCTCATTACATTCATTAAGAAAATTGTAATGTGACTTCTGCCAAGTCATATATATCATCTTTGACAACAGCAGGATCCTTTAGTTATGGAATTAATCCTAGAGTCCTTGATTTCTGTTTATTTTTTTTATCTTTTTTTTGTTTTTTCTCTAGTGCAGCTTATATTGAATAAATTCAAGTTTATATTGTACCATGTTTTTTCTCTTGACAGTGTTTCCGTGGCTTTACTTGAGCTGTTGATTGTATTTCTTTTATGGTTGATACTTCTGTCAATTCTTTTCCTTTTCAGCATATATGATATTTTATTAAGAAATCTTCTTAAAATAAGGCATTGCATTATGAAATAAAGATAGTTGCTGTTCGATATTTTGTTGTTTTACTTTGCTATCCATTTCACATACAATTTTAGGCATTGTAGTGGTTTGAAAAAAAAAAGTCAAACCTGAAAGTAATATATGTAGTTGAATTTCTTGTAGATGTTTCCGGATTGATCTTTAAATTTTACTAATTTTGAGGTTTGTTGATGGTTGAAGCAACATAAGAATATTCTAAATCTTTGTCATCCATTAGTAAATTTCTTGACAATTATCATAAAGATGCTCACCTATTTCGAGGATTGAACACTTTCCCCATATTTACATAAGGAGTGTACTATACCCCAGTGACCGATCGACAAAGGAGAGATCCGAAACTAAAACAGTCAACCGACGAGCTGTCCGACAAGCGCAAACCAGAAAAGGAAAATATCATTAATGGCCAATTAATACGTTTAATGACCATATTAAGGATGAATATACAGTATTTATGAGTGATTTACAGGTTATATTGCCAAAAAATATACTGCACTGATGGTTAATCAATGGACTTGGTTGACACAAGCCCTATAAATATACGTCCGGGCACAATCATCTTTTTCTATTATAATAAAATATAGACCTCTGCAGGTCAACAACTCATCAAAGTGGATTGTATTCTCGAAGAGGATTAAAGATCAAAAGAGAGCTGATCAACCCTCGGACAAATTCCCACAGAAACATTTTGGCGCCCACCGTGGGGCCGAGCGACATCCCCATGAAACCACAAGGAACCAGACGTGTAGACGTGCGCTCGGCCTCGACATTGCTACTTCGGATCAATACTAGGTTTTGCAACAAGAATATAAATTCCATAATAATTTCTACAGGCATGTCTTTTGTTTTGAGAACTTTCAGGAACGTTCAATCCTACATTCAACCTTGTCAAGTTCCAATACTTTTTAATTTATAAATTATAATTTTTATTGTGTTTAACTCATATTTTTTTTTGAGTCAAAATATCTTGCATAGGAAGGTTCAGGGCTACGTTCAATCTTGGCAGGTTCCACTTTTCATTATAATTTATAAATTATAATATAATTGTTTAACTCATATTTTTTTTGACTAAAAATATCCTGCAGAGTAAAAATATCCTGCACAGGAAGGTTCAGTCCTACATTCAAGCTTGGGTTCCACTTTTCATCATAATTTATAAATTATAATATATTTGTTTAACTCATATTTTTGTGAGTAAAAATATCCTACACAAGAAGGTTCAGTCTTACGTTCAACCTTGATAGGTTCCATTTTTCATTATAATTTATAAATTATAATATATTTGTTTAACTCATATTTTTGTGAGTAAAAATATCTCGCACAGGAAGGTTCACTCCTACGTTCAACCTTATCAGGTTTTAATGTTATGTCATTATAAAATAAAATGTTGAATATTTTATTTAAGGCTTATTTTTGTGAGTAAAAATATCTCGCACAGGAAGGTTCACACCAACGTTCAATCTTATCAAGTTCCAATGACATCTCGTTATAAGAATAAAATATTGAATATTTTCTTTAACGCATGCTTTTTGTGAGTAAAACTATTTTACACAAGAAGATTCAATCCTCTACAACATGTTCACTGTTTGGGCGGAAGTCAGAAAAATGACTTTAGAAATCCCCGCTCAACGCAGGAAGTCAGAAAAATGACTCTTGCCTCAAGCCGCTCGG